GCGCTATCGCCTCGGGCAACTCTTACGCTTCTTTCGTGCTCTCCAAACTTCCCGCGTGCTCCATAACTCGATAGTGCACGCTAAAGCATGAACCAATTGTTAATTTAAGAAGAACTGCCCCGGAAAGATTGCATCCTAGTCGTCCAAAAGAAAAAAATTGAAGACCATTTGCAATCAATAAACATTTCACATATTCAAGGCTGTAAGTTTAAAACTCCAACTTTTAATCATCGGTTAACTGTTACTCTAAAAAAAAAGAAAAAGCATTTAAGTTTGTTAATTTCTTTTGTTGCTGCTTTGTGTTATGAAACAGGAAGTTCATCTGTCGGCAAATCGAGCTTGTTTAACAGATGTGACGATGGAATTTCTTCTCGTTTCAAAGTTATTCCTAGTACCGAAGGTGAGAAAAACGTTAAGCAATGAGTATGCAAGTGATCAAATGGCTTTTTGGGGAGTTCAGAGATCTACGTGCTATTCAAAATTGAATGTAAGTTTAAATTTGTGTTCATTTGTACTCTTAGAGGACTGTAACACTATAGAAGTAAGTCTGGATAATGGCATAACAATGACACTTCAAATCTGGGATACTATGTATATGGAAAGGTTCCTCCGCTCAGATGTTTCTTCTTATTTCCGCGGACGACATGTTGCTATTGTTGTGTACGACATAACGCAAAGATATTCATTTGAGAAGGCAAAGGAGATTGTCGATATCCTCGCGCAATTGGCCAAGCCAGGCGACTTTGTAACACTTGTGGGGAATAAAGCAGATTTTCAAAGCGGAAGGGAGGTGTCCTTTGAGGTAATTAATGTCTTTCTTCAGGTGATGCTATTGTTCTGTACTACAGTACCGCTATTCGCGAGTACCTCACTGCATACGCGAAACTCACACTATACGTGTCACCACACGCACCTACGTGTTGCAATATATGTACTTACTTTCTTGTAGACCAGAGCTCATGAAATGAGTGTACTGAGACAAAAGTACGTGTAAATAAGACGAAAAATTGGATTCGTAATTCTTCACTTCTGCTTTCGATACTCTCGTAGAGGTGTTTGTACCCTGAAGACGTTTATAACTTTCCTACCACATAAGCGACAACTTATGTGCTGAACATAAAATCATGATGCAAATCATTTATAGAAAGGATCGAGTAGTGAAGTAGTTTAGGCGAGCCCTTGGGCAGATTTTTGTATAATTCTATCATATAATTTTCTTTTTATGTCCTTAGCATTAAATCGTGTTGTAAGTTTTTTTGGTCGGGTCGCATGGGGAGCAGAATGCATCTCTTGTAAAATTTAAGCTCCTGATTGCAATGCAACTCTACACGTATCTTTTCGATTGACCGTCAATACACGAAAACATTCCACGCGTTCTAGAATCATTTAATTTGAGACGGAAACAGCTTAGAGCAACTATATCGGGCATTTGATATCCAGGCCGCTAAAAGCGAGGCCTTCCTGATTCAACCAACGTCAACAAAGCCATGCCCACCAGACAGGTGTCAACAATCCGGCATTAGCACCACGCAAGCAACTTTTTCCGGACATTGACTTAACAAACGGACAGAAATGACTGACCCAATTCACCTACAGATCAGAAGTGACAAATGACAAAACACAGCTTGAAAACAGTTATTTAGCAGTAGGAGACTTTGAGATTATGATTTGTTCTTTTAGGAAGCACGGGACTATGCAGACGGAATCAATATCATTGAGATTGTCATAGAAGTGTCAGCAAAGAGTGCTAAAAATGTTGAAGACCTGTTCTCTAAAGTAGGTAAGTGAAATTTCCTATTCACTGAACTGTACGACAAAGGGAAGGCAAATTCTGCGCCTTAGCCAAGTGGTATACGGCAATTTATCTTAGCATGAAGTGACCAGAAGTTTTGCCACTCCCATCTCGATGATATATTGCTATTCAATCGGAGCATTTGTGCTTATGGTATCGCTTTGTCATCCGCTCTGGCTCAGCATACGGGTGACGTCATTCTGCAAGATCTAGACAATGTTGAAAGCATCCACAACGATATCCTTGTCACTGGCAGAGATGACGATGGCTGCTTTAAAGGATCCTGATAGTCTGCTGAGACATCTTTGCCAGCATTGATGACTAAAGATCCTGCTCCGAACTGACCGCCAACTCCTATCGGCGATATTTGCACCAGACTCTGCCACCTCAGTCTCGGTACAGATTACATAGCTGGCTATTCTTTCCGTTTTTCTGTCCTTGCGACGTTCTGCGACGTTACTGTTGGTAACACTGATTGATTAAGTGACTTCTAGTCACATCATAGTTAATAGAGGGGACCTCTATTAACTATGGTCACATGTACGTCATTTCCACCATTCGTACCCGTAAAATGGTCGATGATGTTCTTCGTAAACAGTGCCAGTGAATGAACTGCCGCAACAGAGACAAAGCCAGCAATCACGGACGGAGATCCGTAAGATTCTTCTCTCAACAGTTCCACTTTTGAGGATAATGCACCAAAGGACCGCCAACTTCCGCTTGCCGACTTCTGCGACGTTGCCTCAACCAGTCCTGAATTGGGCCGATCTAATCATGCTCTAAAACAACCTCAGAGGCTGATTAGAGAAAATTCAATAATTGTTTGTCATTTAGCTTTGGACATTGTGGAAGGATAAGAGGTAGTTCTAAGAGAATATGAATATTTCCGTTAGATATTTAGGTTCGCGGCTAAAAGTTCTACCAAAAGTTTTCTTGTCTGATTTGTCTTGTGTCGGTCCAGTAAATCTTATGCAAAGAGGTTTTACTGCATCGCAATGAATTCTGGGATCATGGCGTGGTGAACCTGCTGTGGCAGCAGGTACTTCCACGACACATGGGCTTGGATACACGGCTGCAATATCTAACGGTCAGTTTTCCGTCGACAGAAAAACTGTTCCTCGTCTTATTCACCAAAATCCTAACTGGCATTCACTTTCGACACACTGATTTGCCCACCCTCCCTACAAAACCAATTTCTTCTAGGACCTCTCGGGAGGGAACACCTGAATGCTCAGGAACGATAATAGTACACTTGTGACGACGTGATGTCGAGGCAGGTCACAGAGTCAGTTATAATCAATAAGAATGTTAAAAGAGAACTTATCAATGCCAATAGTGAATGGAATCACGTTTGCGTCCCGGGGACTGTTGCCACGTTATAACGAACACAACAAAAGGAACCACTTTTGCTTTCTGGACCACTGTTTCTTCCTTAGGTTCCTGGTATCGACCTGCACATCGATTAGTACAACTAATATGACGAGGGACACAAATATTGCAGACTATGTGGATTTTTATTCGTAGTGTCAAACCAAGATTGTTCTAGCTGTCTCAGTGAAATATGTTTCCTTGTCTAGACAATGTTCTATCTCAGTTTCAAACTATAGCACCACTTATATTTATCCATTAATTAAGGTTTTCTAGGGATGGTTTGCAAAAGGCATATTAAGAATTGTAGCATTATAGGAGTAGGTTCATTATGTAGAGAGGCAAAGGAGATAGCGGATTGCTGTGTAGGACTAATTTTACTTTTCTGATTTTTCTATTTTGTAGTAACACATCTAAAAGCATCCGTATTATTTGAGTTCGGCCACACTTTGGCTCTAGCAGGAAAAACTTTGGATCTGAGTGATAGAAACTTGCACAGCATTCAAATAAATTTTACTGAACTTGTGGAGATGCTGTTTCCTCTACGTCATCACCCCGTTTCACTAGCAGGTATTCAAGTACTGAATTTGAGCCATAACAATTTTGCAGAGCTTCCTGATATTTCTCTAGAATTGATGAATCTGGCGTGCTTATACGTGAATGACAACAGACTCTCCTCTCTTCCTGAAAGTATGAAACGCCTGAAAAGACTTCGAGAGCTGGATTTGAGAAATAACCAACTGAAGGGACTTGGTGTAATTAGAGAACTGCCTGAACTTAAAAATCTGTTTGTGGAAGGAAACCCACTCAAACTAGAGGAAATCAGAAGTCTTGTTAAGCATATCGATAAAACTAAAAGAACTATCTCCATAGACATCGCAGGTGGGTGTTTACTGAATATGGCCATAAATGTTTTGCATGCTTTTGCGTAATTTCTGTTAAGATCAGAGCCTCATGAAGGTCAAAAGTCAAGCCTGGTTTCTCACCGTAGCACAGCGATCGAAATGGGCGTATACAACTGTTTCGAGAGAGATTGGCGGAAAAAAGTGTAAAAGTGCATCCGAGAACCCCGAAAGGTAGTGTAAGTAGTTTTCGGGTCACGGTTCCTTGACCTCAATATTTCAGGGAAATCTGAGAAATGTCAATCTAGGCACTAGGCATCGCCAGTCTGACGAATTATCTATTTATTTATTTATTTATTTATTTCACTTATTAAAATTCATTGTTTATTTATAACCAGATAACCATTGGAGATTGTAGGTTGCGTGCAGTTTTATCCTTTTCCCAACAACCAGCTGTATACATAACTTTCACTTCTTTACTAGTTATGATCCTTCACTAATGCTGGTTTGTATCACTTAAAGCTTCGTCTGATAACTCCTTCTATTTGAAAAGAATTCGTGCGAGTTGCAGTGTTAAAAAGGAAAGCAAATGAACTTGGCTTGAAGTTTGACTATGCAAGAAGAGTGGAGAATCCCATCAACAAGAAAGTGATAGGGTTAAAATTTGTTTCTTGCTTTCGTCAATGGTTAAAATACACGTGAGACTCGTACTTAATATTATTATTATTAAAATTATTATTATTATTATTATTATTATTTGGCTTTTATGAATAAGTGACGTGTAGCTATAGCTGAGTAAATCTCAATTGTTGTGAATCTTGTAAATTGTGGATTATACGCCCAATTGGATCACTTTTAGAAGTGGAAATAGTGAATTATTAGGCAGGCTGATAATCGGTCTTGTGAAAGAAGGGTTGAGGGTTTTAGTTCTGAAGTTCGCAGAATGTAAGAATCCTAATTACGCGTAGATTTGGATTTGATCACTATACTATTTTACACGGATATAAAAATAAAAAACCAGATATTGCTACCTTTCTTCGATTTTGCCTGACGATTCGCACAGCACTCCAGAAGACCACTGAAACTCAAATGGCAAATCTTTTTACCAGACAGAACTTGGGGAGAAGAAATGACTCGCTTATCACAGAGATTCATGTAACGTTGAAGTAACGATGTCTTTGTCACAGGTGCTTCAAGTAGCGTTGAAAAGGTGTCTCAGGAACTCTTCATAAGTGGAGTTTTGATCTGCACTTTCCTTTTTGGCCCATACGTTAATTCAGAAAAATTTTGTGTGACTCTTATTTAAAAGCCAATTGATAACTACTGAGCATTATAATCTACCGTGTAGGACCGCATAATTAGATAAAATCTCGTTTTCTGATTGGTTAACGAAGCCAGGAATTTAGCATAGAATTACGAGTTAAAAACGAGGCTAAGTGATATTAGTTTCGTATCTCTTGTTTTGCGCTCAGAATAAAAACAATTTCGTTGTTGTTTTCTTTTTTCCTTATTTTTATTCAGTCATGCGATTCAAGGAAATTCCTTTTCTTGACTCATGAATTAGGCAGTAAATTGCACTTGAAAACCGATATCACATGCATCACCTCGCGATTCGTGCGATATCGGTTTTGCGTGCAATTTGAGGTGGAATTCCCTCGTCTGGTAACGAATTTTCCTATAGTATTGATATTTTTATTTACCACTCCTTCTTGTTCGGTTGCAGCTACTACTCCTTCCGAAATTTTGGCACAAGGACCATCCGCAAGACTAGTTTATGAAAAGGCTCTTACTGATGGATTTGTGAATGTTTATCGTGGTCGGATATTATTAATTGGCCAGGATCGTGCTGGTAAAACAAGTTTAAAGAAGACTCTCCTAGGTCTGCCATTCGACTTCAAGGAACAGAGCACGGACGGAATTGAAATAGAGCCATCCAAGTTTGAAATTGAAGTTGAAAGAATGAAGAATTGGACTCCAACTTGTGCGGAAAAATCAAATGTGACGGAATTTTCGGAATATATGCCGAAAATATTAGCAAGTGAACGATATCACTGCATTCTCGGTAATGCGAAAGAAAACCCGGGAAAGAAATTGGAATGGGCAAAACCTCAAAAAGAAGCTGACGAGGGTTCAGTAGCAACTGTAGAGAAAGAACGTACCCGCGCCATTCAGGTGTGTATAATTTTTTTCTTCAATGTTTAATATTTAATAAGGCACATGAAATAGTTTAGAAAAGAAAAGAGGTATAGAATATTGCCATCATCAATCTTTACCTCCATGATATCTTAACATCATCAGATCGATAATGGTCGTGGTAATGAGACAGAAAACCCGGAAAAGAACTCCGAATGGGTGCAGCCTCAAAAAGAAGCTGAATCGGAATCGATACGAGAGGTAAACACAGAACGTCCTCTCTCAATTCAGGTGTGTATACTAATTTCTTTAAAAACCAAGTATTATATAGGGGAATCCTTGTTTACAATATTTGCCTCATTAGCATGAGCAATTCAGTTTCTGATGGAGCTAGAAATAAATCAGTTCTGAATATTGAAAGGTCAAAGTACGATTGACTCGGCCAATGAATACGAGCCTGATGCATTGAATACTTTTTGTGCAACACGGGTTTAAAAACTCAAAATTTTACATAGAATGTATGAGCTCATTAGCGCTTCTGCCACCCAGAAATTTTGGAGTTTTTGATGGACTATTTCTCCTTGAATATTACACCCAAAGAGCTAAAAATTTCACTATGTACTAAGGTTTTCTAGCTCTTTAGCTGCCTGAAGTCAATTTGTATCTAACATGCTTCCTTCTTTACGCAAAGCCGTATGCAAATGAGCAAAAATGTAAACAATGACGTCAGCATGAATCCGCCTATAGGACTCATGGAATAACTTGGAAAAGAAAAGAAGAAAAAAATGTGCTCATCATCAATCTCTGCTTCCATAAGCTCTAGATATCACCAACTCGGTATCGGCAATGGCTGTTTAAGTAGGGGCCACAGTGACCTTGTTGTTTCTTATGTAACCGTCTTATCCTTGACTCAAAATTTCTGCTTCATCTCAAAAAACTCTTAGATTTCTGAGGAGAAAGAAAAGGAGGAGGAAAAGGAGTACGCCAAATCTGGTCATACTCCCGGGCCATCAATTGAGACACAACAAATACAGAAAGCAAACGATTCTGATGGCCGCACGAATCCAAGTACGGAGTCTGAAATGACTTTAAACGCAACCACACTCCTTGCTGACGTTAGGAAGCATGCCGATCAATTGTTGAAGAGTATGCTTCTTAAAGGTATAAATGCTGAAAAAGAGAGCAGCAAGGGAGAATCCATGATAACCATAGACTTCTGGGATTTTGCAGGTCAGCATTTGTACTATGCTGCTCACCCAGTATTTTTTTCACCACGAGCAGTGTACATTTTAGTGCACAACCTTAACAAGCCACTTAATGCACGAGCTCAGCCCTGTGTTAGACAAGGAACTCATGAAGTAACTTTGGAGAACCCAAACGATGAGACAAATTTGGAGAATTTGCTATCGTGGCTTGTAACAGTTCATAATCTGAGACCAACTAGAGAAGAAAGGGTTGAAACTTCTAACTTGCTGCCCTATCTCCGGCCCCCGGTGTTCATCGTCGGCACCCATGCTGACAAGCCCTATGAGGATATCAAGGATGTAACATCTAAGATACAACGTGACATTTCCGGTAAGGAATATGGAGAACACGTCATTCGACCATTCTTCTTCATTGATAATACTCAAGGACACCAATCATTAGCTTGGAAAATCCGGAGATTCTTCACCCTTCAGAAAAATCGTCAAGAAGGTAAATGTTTTATGCAAGTTAGGTCTATTAATATCTACCAAAGTACCTTCAATTAGTGAAATTAATAACACATTGCAAAAGAAATAAGTGACTTGAAGCTCTTTAGGGTAAAGAGACTTTTACGAATACGAACGGTTGATAATGGCCTCAAGTGCCACCAAACTCTTATTGAAAGTCAAGGGAGAAATCTTCTCTCTGCGACACTTATTGTTTGATGCCATTTGTAATTGAAAGGACGAAAAGGAGACAATGACGAAACTAGTGCCGAAGGAATTCATGCCCTTCGAGCGAGAATCCTGGAAGTACTTCGACAGGAACCTTATATGGGAGAGAAGATACCAGTGAGGTGAAGTATAATGTTTGACGATATAAGCAGAAGAGATCATTTTGGTTTTATCAGCTGAGCTGATAATGAAAATTGGCCACCATAAAAAGTTTCAAAGCTAAAGTGAGCGAAGGGCTAATACTCGAAACTTCAGCTTTGAAACACTCTACCGTGGCCAATTTACATTTATCAACTCAGTTGATAAAACGAAAATGATCTTATTACTCCCACCGACGCAGCACCACCGTTTCTTTAGAAACTTATCCCCTTTTAGCAAAAGAGATGTTCAGCTTATTTTTTATAACAGCAGCTGTATTGAAACGCATTCAAACTCACGAATTTCTTAATTGATTAATTAATTTTTATGCACTTGTTACGTGTTAAAAAATAATAACATTACTTGGGAATTTAATTTGTCCTCGAAGGATTTTCAATTGGCCTCAAGCCAAATTTTAAAGTTCCACTGAGATCTTTCGGTCCTTTAACCCATGTCATTTTCTATCTTATGGACACCTTTTCATAAGCTAACACAGATTATCGACTTCCTTATATTTTTAGATGGTTTAACTTTGAAAAGGTCATTGAAGCTTTGGTAGATGGAAATATATACCACACAAATACTGCGCATCTGCAAACCTATGCCAAGGATGTGTGTTTCATAGAAGACGATGAGCAGTTTCACACCATGTTGAATTTCTATCACGACCTAGGAATAATTGTGAAACACCGCAACACAGTAATTCTGAGGGCGCAGTGGTTGATTAGCCTATTCAAGAAGCTTATAACCATTCCACCCTTCAAAAAAACAGTAGGAAAATTTAGTATACTGTGCACTGAGATTATTAAATATTGCAGGACTTGTTACCTTCCTTCCACTTGCACATAGCGGGAGAACTGTTTGTTTGATTGTCAAATTGTTTGTTTCTTTTGTCATGTTGTATGCAACATTTTGAGTTTTCTCTATTACTTGCCTGTGTCCCCCCCACTCCCCCATATCAATATTGCCTGATAATAACAAAATAGTCACTAATTTATAGTAGAATCGCATCATTGAATAAAATCTCGCATTCTGATTGGTTAACGAAGCGAGGTATTTAGCGTGGAACTGCGAGTTGAAAACGAGGCTAAGTGAAATTGCTTCGTTTCTGCGTCACTAAGCACAACAACTATCGTCAAATTGTTACAAAGTTTGGTTTCTAAGTCAATTTAAAATGTTTTGAAAACCATTGTCACTTTCTAAAGAGCAAAAACAAACAAAGCGTTTTCAAAGTGAGCCGGAGGTTCTTCCTTGTTTTGAACTGAACTTCAAATTCTTGGAGAAGCATAAAAACCTTTTTCGCTCGCGACAACCCGAAAGCGAAAAAATCCTGTGAACACGACCCAGAAAAAAAATCTCGGAGCTAACAGGTCACGCCAACCCGGGTTCGATATCCATCTGCAGCCATAATCTTTTAGAAAAACAACAAAGGATGTCAAGCAAGTTGGTTGAGTTTTCAGTCGTACTACTATGCACTGCGACTGTCACAGCTGCCAACGCCGGCGACGGTTTACGCACTACTGAAAGCTTTGCGAGAAATTTATGTGAACAGCCTTGCACTTCCATCAGTAGTTGGCAATAACACAACATCAATGAATAACGGCATTGATGATCTAGCAGTAAGAGTTCTTGGTGGATTGTTCACCAATGTATCGTTCAACAACTCTCCGGTGAATATCTCCATCAACTTTCAGTCGAATACTCATCTCAACGATTCAGCTAATGACAGTCGCCTATAATGAATTTCTACAAATAAAAATATTAAAGTTTTTGGACTTTTCATGAAACTCTTCTTTGGTTTTAAAGGAATAAAGAATCGATCACTAAACGTATTTGCACTTCAAGGCACTTACCTAATATTAATTGCGATGTTATTGCACTTGAAATCAGTGCTTTCGCTTGCACACTTCATTTCTCTCAGTTTGCCACCAAAGCCGGGTAGAAGGTGTAAATTATTTTCCTTCTCGAGAAAATTATTTGGAATTTTGAAAAAAGATATTAACGATAAACGGCTTGTAAATCCAGTGAACTACCACTATTATCCCTAAATAGTGTGAAGCTTGTTTGAAAAGTTTGAAAATTAATGTAAAATCAAGCACGAGATACAAATAAAATGGTCGAAGGTTCAAACGTGTACGACTAACCTTGCTTTCTATTCGCTAACAAAATGACACTTCTGACAGTTGGCTTTAAAATGGCTTTCTAGAGCGCGCGCTCGGGATAAAAACAAACAATAATATCACCGATTTTATTTCTTGTTTTCTTATTTTCATTCAGTTATGCGATTCAAGGAAAATTGATTACCTGACTCGTGAATTCCGCGTTAAATTGCACGCGAAAACCAATATCGTACGAATCGCGAAGCGATGAGTGCGATATTGGTTTTCAAGTGCAATTTAACGCGGAATTCACGAGTTAGGTAATCAATTTTCCTATAAAATTGTTCTAGGAAGAATTGTTAGATTAAACTCATTTTTAATAGAGAATTTGTGATTTCAGGATCCTGTGCATTCCAAGTTCTGGCTTGAGCTTGAGAGAAGTGGTGTTCTTAAGATGGAGCTTGTTGATCGCGTTTTCTCCAGTCTTATTCAACAAGGTGTTAACAAGGAAGACATCTTAGACTTGATGGAGCAGTTTGGTTTGATTGCCAAATACTCTCCATCCCCGGCTCACGTTCAGTACTTTGTCCCATGTCAACTGAGGTCCTCACCTAAAGAGCTTTGTGACATGGAACCATCTCCTGCGGATCCCTGTCCTTTGTATCTTCATTTCCAAGAAGGTTTTGTCCCGCATGGTCTCTTTACTCGCCTTGTCTCAAAATCAGTGTCCTGGTGCTGTGCGAATGGATCGTCACAGGAACCAAAACTCTACCAGAATGGTGCATGGTTCGTTCTGGAGGGAAGCGTTATACATGATATGATTTTGATTTGCAAAAAGAAGTTCATAAAAATCCTCTTGAGACAAAGAATTAAAGATGAAGCAGTTCCACTGTCTCATTCAGCTTCAGCAGAAGTTGCTAGAAGTGTGCGATTGTTTATAAGGAAAGATTTAGAAAAGATGTCAGAGGAGTTTCCATACCTGAGAAGGTTGCAGCATCAATTTTGTGTTGAATGCCCCTACTGTCAGCAGGGAGGCCGCCAGTGCACAAACCACAACCAAGTGTCCTGTGCAGAAGATGACTACTTACACCTTCTTGAATTAAAACAAGGACAGGATTTGATATGTATGGAAAGCATGTCTAATAAAGTACTTACAGTTCCTGGGCAAGAGAAATGGTTCTTAAACGAGGTATGAAGCATTCTTGGTGATTCCCTTATGATAAGGAACGGAAACCACTGCAAAATAATTTATGTTAGCTGCAATTATATTGCATTGTGCTATTTCAATATTAAAATGATATACGTCAAATTACTCGCATTTTAAAAGTGCCTCCTACGGGCCACAGTCCACAGTCCACGGGCCACAGTTTTTGAAGAATTTCAGTCACTGGCAATCGTACCAATCGGAACACTCAATTTAGAAAATCGTCCTATGGATTAGATATTTTCATATCTAATCCATAGGACGATTAAAACAGCTTACTTCGGATCCTAAATACTCCAGGAATAGACGAATAGACGTACTTTACGGGGTTCTATATTGCGAAATTGCATACTTCACTTTTTTTTGGTGATTCAAGACATAAATGAATACGTATAACCCGTTTGCAAAAGATTTGTCGACCTGTATTTCATTTTCGTGATAGCAAAGAGGATGTTACACTCTTTTGACAAAATAAGGCTGTTTCAGTGAAAATTGTTTTATGTATCATACTTGCAAAATGACCAGCTTTGACTTAATTTTTTTTTGTGGTAATTTTCCCAAAGGTTTTGGCTCCGTTAGTGATAAATACCTCACAAGGTGGACCAATAGGTAGTCGCCCCACAAATTCAAATAAAGGATTGAGAGTTACTCTTCTGGCCAATGAGTGGAATTCGTCAATGGGGGGTTTGTCCACTATCAATAGACAGCTTGCCATACTTTTGGCCAAACGCAGTGAATTGGAAGTCACTCTCCTGGTTCCACAATCTGCTTGTTCTGAAGAAGAGAAGAGAGCTGCACAAAGTCACAAGATTGTCGTCAAAGAGGCAGAGAGACGTCCAGGCTTCGACCCTCTTGATTGGTTGAGCTTCCCGCCGAAAGACCTTATCATCGACGTGGTCGTGGGTCATGGAGCCAAGTTAGGTAAGCAAGCACAAATCATCAGAGAGTCTCACTGCTGCCAATGGGTACAAGTAGTACATACTGCGCCTGAAGAGCTTGGAATGTTCAAAAACTACCCGAGAGCCATTGCCAGAGGAGAAGAGAAGACTACAGCTGAAGTAGACTTATGCAGATTGGCAAACCTAGTCGTAGCAGTAGGACCCAAGTTGACGGAGGCCTACTCAGCCTATCTTCGCTCCTGCGAGAAGCAGCAAGATATCATGTCGTTCACTCCTGGCACATTCAATGAGTTTTCCACCCTAAGACAAGCTTCAGTTGACTCTGAAAAGTTTAGAGTGTTGACCTTTGGTCGTGGTGATCCAGAGGACTTCGATCTGAAAGGGTATGATATCGCCGCCAAAGCAGTGGTTGAACTGAGAGACAACTCCTACCATCTAATCTTTGTGGGTGCACCTGATGGAAAACAGGAGGCAGTTATGGAAAACTTGCTGCAAAGTGGCATATTTAGACGACAGCTGACAGTGAGAAAGTTTTTGCAAAGTAAGGAGAAATTGAAAGAGTGTTTTTGTGAAGTTGATCTCTGCATTATGCCATCCCGGACGGAAGGGTTTGGTTTAACCGCATTGGAAGCCTTGTCGGCTGGTCTTCCCATTCTTGTTAGTGGAAACTCGGGATTGGGAGACGCACTGCGCACTGTACCATCCGGCAAATCTTTTGTGGTTGATTCTGAGGACCCCAAAGTGTGGGCTGAGGCAATTGCTGGTGTCCGAAAAATAAAGAGATCCCAACGTCTTCATGTAATTGAACGACTTAGGGCAGCATATGAAGAGCATTTTAGCTGGGAGAAGCAGTGTGACCTTGTTCTGGATAAGATGTGGCACAAAGTATATGATGCAGGTCTGTTGATGATAATTATATTTCGTTTTAAAGAAAGCGTTGTGTTGTTCTATCCTGCATTCATCCTCACATTGATGTGACAACATCTTGTACCAGGAAATAGGTTTCTGAAACAAAGTCTTATGGATAGTTTGAAATTTTTTAATTTCAAACTATAATAAAGAAACAAAGAAAAAGAAAGCAAAGAAAAAGAAAGAACCCTCTAAAAAAATTTTGTTATCCATACATTAATAAACCTTTATTTTAAAGCCTGAAAAAGTTAACATTGTAGATAGAATAATAAAGATGGTGGGTTTTTTAGCTCGGTAAAACTTTGCATATTTCGTATTCTATTTAAAAAACATAATGCTATCGATATTGCCGATCCTAGCAGTATGCTGAACGATTGTCTTATGTGAAATTCGTAATGGCCTTGCTCGCCATAGAGTTTCTGTGGCTCTGCGGTAGTGGATCGGAGCGCGGAATCCAAAGGTCTGAGATTCGATTCTTCATAGGGACTCAGAATACTTTTCTCTGTCCCACGCTTTTGACAAGACGAAAAAACCTTTATCTAAATTCAATATTGTATAATGAGGTCACGTTAAAAGTTATCTGCTCCGGCTGTTCACAATGCAATTATTGCTTTCGTTACAAAATAACAATTTTTTTATGATAAAAAAAAAAACAGCATTGTGGGGTGTTAACTGAAAAGTCTAGGCTATTACTTGCGACTTTTTATTCCAAAACTATTTCTCATTTTCGAATCAGAAGGTAGAGTTTGTTTATTTTATTTAACATGGTTATTGGCCTGAATAAGAACTCCCTGCTGTATTTTTCAATATTAAAGTATTCCCTCGTAGCTGAAAGAAGAACCCTGTCCCTCTCATTGAAAATTTTAGATCAACTTGTGTCCTCATTAAATATTTGTACATACATGATCCTGTTGATAAAGAAAGATCTCGTTCATTTGATGGTAGCGCCCTCCATACAAAGTAAATCCGAGTACCTGATTGAATAACTGTCCCTCGCAGCCCTTATTTGGACGAATAGTAAACCACTGGCAGTTTAGTCGGGGCCACTAAGCCAGATCTTAAAAAGGTTTCACACAGCTTGTTGTACCCATATCGAAAGAGGTCCTAGTGGGTAAAAAAGATATTTATGAAAACTTAAACTTCGGTGTCAGATGTGATGGATTTTTTTCTCTGTCATAATTGAAACCTTCTCTTCCAACTAGAGTTTATGATTCAAAGAAAAACACCTAATACGACTTTTCTTCAAGGGCTGCTTGAGCGAATCATCAAGAATCTTCAGAGGATGCAAATCTGCACAAGCAAGGTCGACAGCAACACTAACTTGACAGAAGAGTTAACAACGATTGTATCAGATAAGGGATTCAGAATTTCTGACAATCAAGGGTCAGGAAACTGCATGTTCCATGCCTTGTCAGAACAGCTAGAAACCGTCAACGGAATCAAAACCCAACATGGCCAGTTGAGACGATCTTTAGTTCAGTACCTCAAGGAAAACCCAAAACTGGTGAGTTACTTTAAGCTACATGGGTAAAGAGAACTTGGGGTTGATCATCAGTTTTTGCTGCTGTGTTTATTTCTCTATCCGTAACGTGAACTGTTACTCCTCGCTGGGACACTAGTCCTTTTCACACAGATATCTGCAAGCATGTTTTCAGGTTGGCCTGACAATTTTCCCTGTGTTTACTTGTCTACTCACTCGTGGAGAGAGGCACTTTGACAGTGAAGTGTCTTCTCCAAGAGGTCGATAAGACAGTCACCCTATATAGGATTGTGTGGAGAGCTCTTACCGTGGATTTCAATGTCGTAAGCAAGAGGAAACGTAGTCTCTCTCCATGCATACTCTCATGTATTCAGAAGGACTCTCTTGCAAAATGTTGTTCTTAGTTATGTTAGTCGCACGCTTAGAGAAATATGCCTGTTAGAATCAATGTGTTACCGTCAGTTTAGCTCGGCTCTAAATGAGGCGAACTTGTTTAAAGACCCACCTACCGGTCTAGACGATATCTTTAAGCGACTATGTCTTCCTTTCTTCATTTAGGACTTGGTTAACATTTTACTCCCGGTGAAGAGGGTGCCTTTTTGTGACGATATCTTTGAATTGTACTTGGCTCTTTCCAAATGCTTTTTGGTGTTTAAGTATTTATTGCTGTTTCTTCTTATAGCCGGATGGAACAGACCTGTCTCACTTTGTCCATGGACATAAAACGTGGGCTGATTACCTGGCATATGTTGAACAAGATGGCGCTTGGGGTGACCACCTCATTCTCTGTGCAGCAGCAAATTTCTTTAAAACGTGCATTCATGTGGTCAGCAGTCTTCACAATGATGTAGTCGTCAGGCCACATTGTCCTGTCGACGAAAGCAAGCCACTAGTACTGGGACATATTCATGAGGTACACTATGTCAGTCTTCAACCCATATAAGGTAAGAATGGAGAAGTACAGTACACCTACTGTTCAATATGAAAATGATGACAAAAACTGAAGTTGTTACACTCGGACTTTGAACTATTCTCGAATCTTTGCGAGTACTCAGATTTAACAGAGGGAATGAAGTAAGCTTTCCACTTCCTTACTTGCTCGACACAGCAGCGTCTTCAGGGACTTAAAATGCACTTTTGCCATCGTTTTATAAGTCGCACAGAATCATAAATTAAACTTAAAACTATATTCTTTCTCCATTTACTTTCTGTTTAATGTTAGCCCTGAATGAAGAGTATCTTGGCTTGGAATTTAACTGGTAGCATGCAGTGTTACTTGGAACTGATCATTTCTTGTTTGTAGTGAAAAGATGGCAACCGAAGACAACGTCTGAAAAGCAAATTTAACATTCATTTATCCAGTTTTTAGCTATACTAAGATAAGCTATTTGTATTTGAACAAGAGTCACTCGCTGAGAGAACTTTGCAAAGCAGTCAGAAGTGTTCACGAATCACACCTGCTGAGTATGAAGTCGGTGAGACCTCATGTACGCCTTACCCGTTGTGACTCGTGCTATATGAATATGAATATAGTTTATATCTGATCACTTGCAGCCCAGAGGCTGAATTACGGGTGCAGTGTAAGGTTGAGAACAGACGTCAGCATATCAGGCGCCACTGGCAGCCCCTTCAGTCTATCGATCTCACCTCCTCACCCATCCCACCCCAGGGGAGGACATCCATCACACAGTAATCCATTTATTCGTCCCTATCCGAGAAGACTAGAATATCTAACCATTTCTTGATGTTATAGAAAGGTAGCAAATTCTTCTCAATTATTTTAAGACCTTGAGTGTTGGTCCGGCCGGGGCTCGAACCCTCGACCTCCCGCACAACAGTCCAGCGCTCTATCCATTGAGCTAACCGAGAGGCCTTGCCTCTCATATGATGGGCTGACTTCTTGTCGATCCTTGTCTTTGCTCCCATTGTTTTTCTCGAGGTTCTCTTTTACTTCCATAATTTTAACTTTCCCAATTCCAACCCCTATGCGGAAAACCATTTTTTTGGATATGAAACTGTGAAACTCTTGCTTGTTTTCTAATTGCGGTGTTTTTCGTTGCGTTTACAGGCTAAAGTTACACAAACCGACATGGCTTCAAATCGGCAAGACTTCCACAAAGAATCAGAAGGCAGCCATTAAATACTGGTGTTAATTTGGAGATATTTTCTTTCATATAACCATGTGCTCGACAAAAAATATCAGCTGCAGATGAAACATAACTTTTTAGAGGTCGTCGGTTGTTCGGTTTGGATGAGCTTTGTCAATGATACTGCTGCTATCGATTTTTGGTGGTTTCATCAGTATTTTGATTTGAAAGAGATAATTTATTTTTAGAAATTGCTATCAATACTCGGCTGAATATTTGGAGTTAATTAATTTTTAGGAAACTTTTGCGTCTAAATACCTTATGATAACGAGTAGTCCTTATTTACCCCTCCCCCACAAGGAAGACTCTGGCAGCAGCTGCTCTCTATATTCATTCAACAAATGGATGGTCACAGTAACGGATTTTTCTCACCCAATCGTGTTTTCATGTACATAAAGGTTTTAGCCTGATTACTTGGGATATAGCTTTTACAACCACATCGATCGAACGTTTAGACGGAGAAAAATGATCCTCGGGAAAATGCGTTGAATGGAATTGTTGTATTCGTGCATAATGTATACTATGTAAGTTCCTTTATTAGAAAATAATTTAGCTAGGAAACTTTAGGTAGATGACTTTTTGGTAGGTGCATAATGCATACTATGTAAGTTCCTTTATTAGAAAATGAATTAGCAAGGAAATTTTTGGTAGATGGCCCTTTGCTAGGGAAAACCAAAATTAGGGTAGGTTTCGTGTTGCAATGAAAACGTTGATTTTTAAATCTCCTAAAGAAATATATAGACCGTCTTTATATTTTAGTGAGAACTGCATCATGAAACTCACTACAGCTAACCAATAACTTAACTGTGAAATTTTTAAAAAGACTTGTTAAAGGGAAATTCGTGTCCAACTTCTAAAAGACAAGTTTTTTGTCTTTGCATTAAATCACTGCGGCCCAGTCTGTGTCATTTTTTACGCTTCCAAATATTGTTCCATGAGAGAAACGACACATCGCTTAAGATATCTCTGTAAATTGCTACAATTTGTTATTAAGTTTTTAATTCTACGACTATTAATTTATTACTTTAAGAGGACGCCTCGACAAAAATGTGTATCCAATTGTATCCAATTAGAATTTCAGAAATTATAGTCTACGGTAATGTAAGACCTTCACTCTCTGAACGTAAACACTTTTGCAAATTTACTATTTTACCTTTAATCTAGAAGTTCAATATTAGCATGTAATCGGTTGATGAGCTGCAACTTCTGAAGTTTTCTCGCCTTGGCGGGTAAGGTTGCCTTGTCAGGCTGGACATTTTTTGTTAATCACAAAACACTTCGGTTTCCCACCTGAGATGAGATTGCTAATCCTTTCCTTCGGTGATTAATTGTGACCAGCTTCACTTGGCAGAGAGAGACTGAGTGCCTGAGTGGACAGCCGTTGGCACAACTCCATTTCAACGCTCCGTAGAGCTGTTTCGAGAGGCAGGGTCCCGATTCTGTATAACTAGATCCTTAATGCTGCTTCTCGCCTTTGCTTTGAGGATACTTTCTAAGTCCTTGGGTTTTCCTCCCTCTGTTTGGATAGTTAGATAGTTTAGATAGTTTATTTACTTGAAAGACATTGCAACCAAAGGTTGAATTACGTATTCATTTGCAAATTTAAGAAATATATAAGAAATGGTAACATACTTTTAAAATATTAAAATTAGGTAACATGGATAGAGTCAGCTCATACAAAGCGTGCGTAAATTATGAAAGATAAAACTATCGCGGTACCTGTTCGTACGGACCACAGGTAAATTAAAAGCGCGCTTTTTCCTTAAGTCCACCCTAGATACATTCCTGGGCGGCAGGAACTTATGCAGCTTGTGACCTGGTACAAGAACGTTAGAAAAGAGCTTGTTGGAAATATTCTCGCGCCGCTCATGCAGGGAGATAAGCCCAGTGCACGCTAGCGCCTCGTCATATTCTTTATCAGGGAAAATTATACGTAATGCGCGCTTCTGGCATCTTTCTAAAACAACTGATAGATATTGAGGTAGGCTGCTGTGAAAGAGAGCGCATGCGTATTCTATAACAGATCTAATACATGTAAGATAGAATAAAACGAGCTCCTTAGACTTAACCTGGGCGCGCTTTAAATGGCGTAGGAAGTAAAGCCGCTTGTTGACTTTCTTTACTGTCTCATCTACATGTGTGTTCCATTTAAGATCGACGGAGAAGGTGACACCTAACATCTTAGCCTCTGCAAGAATAATTATCCAGCCTCTTCTATCGATTGAAAGGGGTCATTTTCTCATGCTCGTGTACACAGAAAATAGGTCTTATGCCAGGAGCCCATTACCCGGAGCTTCCATCTTTCATACTGACCCTCTGAGCCAACCCTGTCCCGTATCTTTCTATTTTTAGAAGCATCTCCCACGGCGGTTTCCGCGGGTGTTTTTATAATAGCCAATCATAAGAGAGCTGTCGTCTCTATTGTGTTACGTCTCTGTTGTGTCACATGCAGGTCGCACGAGATTATTTCAATAATGGCGGAAAGCGCGGAAAGATTAAAGAATCCCCGCAGATATCTCAGTTCTAAAAATAAAAAGATACGGGACAGGGTTGACTCAAGGGTACAACTGAGATGGAAGCTCCGGGTGATGGGCTCCTGCTTATACCCCCTTTCTTCAATTACGTCGGTCAGCTTTCCAACCTGTTCATCTTCTTCGTAAGAACAAATTAAGTTGACGATTGACGCAGAAAAAAGAAACAAAGAGGGAAAAAAAAGAGTAGGGTTAGGAAAATAGTAAAACAAAAAAACAAGGAAAAGCAAACTAGCGCTTAAACTGAGGTAATTTTTATTTGTTTATTCAACATTAGAAAGCTGAAGGTCCACTCGAACAGGTTCAAAATTGTCGTAAACGAGGTATAGTGTGATAAATCTTGAGA